AGCTGCCGTAAGACTGGAGCGAATGAAAATACTGTTTATTTTGGTGAATTTGAGCTGCCGTAATTTGGCCCACTTATTTCTTATTTGCCAGCGCCGGTGCTGAAGGAATGAAATTACTGTTTATTTTAGTGAATTTGAGCTGCCGGCCAAGCGCCCGTGCTGAAGGAATGAAATTACTGTTTATTTTGGTGAATTTGAGCTGCCGAAGCTGCCGTAAGAAAACAAGAAATTAGGAAAAGTTGTTCTAAGTAAGTTTATATTAGGGGAGAAGTTGTTCTAAGTAAGTTTATATTAGGGGACGGTATGATTTTTAATAATTTTACAACAGCCTTCGAAAAAAGTTACAGTTCAAATTATTTTCATGCTGAAAGTTCCAGTTCTCGTTTTTAACACCCCGTCGGTACGAGGTTGTAGGTTGGAAGGCAAATGTGTGGACCGAATCTGAGATAGGTTATGAATACAAGAAAACTGCACAGTTTTTACTAGTCAGGGAAAAAAACACCAGCACAAGGTTTGTCTCACACTCCAGACAGAGCTACTGGGAACACTTCCTCTCCACACATATACTGGAATAAATTCATTATAATAAGAAGAAGGGGATCCAGAAGTCTCAGATCAATCGACCAACAAGTGTTTTTTTAATTAGAGTTTTCCATATCAGTATCATAGCATCCTCCTACACAAAAGAAATTAGTACTAGTAGTACCAAATATTTTGATATAAAAATACTTATTGTTATTTTTAAAGTGAGACAGGTTGAACTTTCGAAGGCAAATGAGGTGTATTATTCCCTCTGTAGAGCTGTGTACAATTTGTACTAACTCCAGACCTGTCTCCACCTCATTTGCCTTCCAACCTCGTACTGTATGAGTCATACTACAACAGGAGGCAGTGAGAACCATAAGGCATATGTAAGACATCCAAGGTGGCCAGCACCTTTCTGGATGTCCCATATCAAGTCCTGCATCCAGATCACGTCAGTGGTCTGAGGAGATTTCCAACAATCCATTTTACTTCATGAGGATAGTATTACTTTGTAGCATAGCTAGCTTCCATAATTT